CAACCTCCATTTTCCTTTTCATTGCTGATTTTCTCTCATCCTCCATTGAACCCCATTTTACTCTCGAAGAAACAAAAGAAAATCCATCACCTTTTTCACCTTCCATCCCTTTATCATTATAAACACTTGAGACTATTGGTTTAGGGGAAGAAAAACCCTCTCTTGAGAGGTTTAGAATTATGTCTTTGAGCTTAGGAGTGACATTCCTTCATCTTTGAGAGTTTGGTTCATCTCCATCATTTGTGTTGAAGCCTTTTGGTAAGAAAGAACCAATATTTTTCAAGGTACATTTCGTGCACCCTTTGGACAGCCATTGAGAATGGAGCTAGATCCTAGAAAGTCCTCTTCTTTGACTATTTTGGAAGCTCCAAGGTAACCATCCACCATTTCCCTTTGAGTTTTCATGAAAATGGTATGTTTAAGGTATACAAAAATTAGGGATTTCATGATTTATGAGTGTTGGTTAATGAACCCATGTGTAGAAAGGGTATGTTAAGCTAATGGAAGTGTTAAAATGGTGTTTTGTTGGATAAAATTCGTGCTAGGTGCAGTTCTGATCACATTACGCGAAATATCCGGATATGCATATGCGGATATTGAGACAACAGTGAACCTAGTATAGTAAAATTGTGATATCTCAAGTTGTAGAGCTCCAAATTGAGTGAGGTTTAGAACTAAGTGAAGCTAACACATAGGGATATAACTATGTAAAATCTTAGAACCATTGGATAAGTGGATCAATCCCAGTTCGATTTTAAATTCCCCGCCCCATTTTCGAAAGTCTAGTTTGCAGTAGTCAGTTTGCGAATGACATAACTTGAGATGTACAAATTCAATTGAGACATATAATATGTCGTTAGAAATCTTAAGAGGTCTAGTTTAACAAAGTAAAATATTAGAATTTATGGTAAAGATTTGTTATACTTGTTTTAAAAATGGTAAATACAATTTAGTGCCGAACCTGACAATAGAGTCCATTTTCCTGGATTGTTCTTCAATGGAAAAACTTATGAACCCTATTGCATTAATAAATAATACTCTAAGGGTATGAGACCCTAGGAGAGTTGATCTAGTTCCTCCTACCTTGACTTGGTGTCCCTACATAAAGCATTATTACATAAAAAAACAAGTGACATGAGCTTGTCTTACTTTAAATTGAAAGTTGACGTCTTAAGGATTCTTAAATAATGAGAGTTATTCAAAGATGTTCTAATTTATTCTAGGATAATTAGTGATGAAGAAATTTCAAGTGATAGATATTCATAATGAATATAGATTCGAGGGTTCGAGAATAAGGTAGGGTCCTATCTTTATAAAAACTATAAATTGTAATTACTAGTTGATGATTGTGGTATGATGTGTGTTGTTGATCATACTTTCACCGTTGAAATGAGTGTGACTAGTGAACAGTTGGTGTGTTGACACTTTGATATCAGGAAAGTCTACAAAGGTAAGCTTTTAGTCCCTCAGGGTTAATTCCTTTTTTGTTCCATCGAAATCCATGGGAGAATAGTTTATATATATATATATATATATATATATATATATATATATTATACTATTTTAAAATTGAGATATTGTATAATGCATTCATATGTATGTATGTTGGTGTGTTTTCCACACAAGATGGTAACCCTTGAGTGGTGCGACACCACACAAGATGGTAACTTCTGAGTGTGGGGTATAAGGAGGACTCCTTATACTTGGTATGTAGTAAGATGTTGAGTAAATCATACATATATTTTCTCTAGCTAGTAGGATTTATTACTGCACACGCATGATGTATATATGTTGATGCATTATATTATTTTATGATGATACATTGTTTCTACTATTATACTGTTTTTTTATGATTATACCTGAACTGAACTTAGAGGTGGAGAAATCCTTTGAGTAGTTTACTGAAATTGTTATCTCACCCCGTTTGGGGACCATATTTCAAGTACTGAGACAGGTGATGTTGGTGCATCTCGGGGTAAGAGGCCGACATGGAGATTTTAGCATGACATGGATATTTATTGCTATCATTGTTAGATATATATATATATATATATATATATATATATATATATATATATATATATGAGATATATGACTAACATTTGATACATTATGCTATGTCTATATTTGTAGAGAGCATAGAGGTTTTCTATGCCATTTTGAAATAAACTTGTTTAATGTTGTTAGAGAACATGTATAAGTTCATGTCATTTGAGAATTGGTATTATCATGGTCATATGATGTAATTAAACATATTGATTGCTAATTTTGAGACATGTATGACATGTATGAATGCCTAGAGATATAAGTGTAAAATGTAAAGCCTTATTCATTTTATTTGCATAAAATGAAGAATCTAATCAATGGATTGCTAGGTATGGTAAACTATACCAAGTATGAATGTAAATTGTAAATAAGAGAATTTGAAAAACAAGCAATGTTTAAAGTTAACTTGACATACAAGTAATGAGTACAAATTAATGTAAAATATAAAAAGTTTATTTGCATCTCCACTTATAATTCTGACGTTATATCCGCTAGCAGTAATTAAGATTAAGCTGCACTTAATACCATTATGATGTTAACAAACTTGGTGCACATGGGGTGATACAATTTATGGTATCAAAGCACTTTCGAGGGAAAAAGATTGGTATGATAAATTAAGGGAAGTTTCTTACTTAGTGATTCATAATGTTTGACACGATATTAAATCGCTAGATACTGAGTATGAGTTTAGCCGACTCATTGTAAAATATTGTGTGAATTAACATTCACATTGAAATGATCAAGGAGAGATTTGATTAAGGTTATATTTCTGTCATAAGGTATCAAATGTCCAGTTAACTATAGTTATATAATTGCTCTCAATCCTGAGTTTATTATAAATAGGTTATTAAATAATTTTCATTTTTTGATCTACCAACGGGTGAGGTCCGATCTTTTGACAGACAATAACTCAGTATTTTGGGAGCGAGATTGTGTAATTATCAATATTTATGAGATAAATAACATGGAATTTGTAGGAAATGTCCCTTTTATATGTTTCGGTACTTGGATATTAAAGACACTAGTCAGTGCATGTAATCCATTAGGGAAACTATCACAATCAATGGAATAAATAATTGATTGAGTAACAGAAAGCTAATCAGTCAATTATCAATATTCTACAAAGGGCGATGCATATTTATGTTATATGTGTTATTAATCTTGGAGTTAAAGTTCGGGCTTTTAGTTGAGTAACACCGAATTAGATAATCATTCGTTGATTATCAGGAGCCTTGATTAATAACAGGTAGTAGAACCTCAAGCTACCTCGAGATAATGGATGAGACATTTTCAGTTGATAACGACTAGTGAGTTATATGGCCTCGGGATTTGGGCTCAAGTTTGTACTCAAGGGAAAGTGGGAGATTGTTGGATTTTGTTCTTTACTAAAGCCCAATTGAGCCTAATGTGTAAGAAGAGCCTAAGAAACCTAGAGCTCATTCCACTTAGGGCTAGGGTTTCTTGCAACCCATATATATTCTGCATTTATAGTCATCAGTCTCCTTGTCTTCACTTGGGGGTTGCAGAGGCTGAGGTAAGGTCATGTCCATGATAGTGAGAGAGTGCTCACACACCAGCCATATCCTCCTTGAGAAATAGTCTGAAAGATCTATTACTAGCCAAACTCAAAAAGATTATTTGTGCAGAGGAGAGCAGTTCGTGAAGAGGAATCAAACACGAGAAGATATTGCATAAATATGTGCAACGAGATAAATATAAAACGATGATGATCTGTCGCATTTCAAATCACAACGATCTAAAACGCTTTCACAGATTCAATTGCGCCTACGGAAATGTATTCTCCTAAAATAAATTCATCGTTTTCAACTGGTTTACTAAATATTATTTTTTCAGTCTGCAAGCAATAATTTTTAATTAGGAAGTAGTTGTACTAAATATTAAGGAAGTTAGTAGCATTGGAGCCTTTATTTACATTTGTTTTAACCCAATCGCAAATAAAGAATTGGAATAGATGCAACAGCAGTGTACTACCGACAAGATCCGCACATGTGGACGACTTCTCTTCAGTTAAATTTTACAATTCGCACATGTATGTTTTGACAAGTAGATTTCTTCTAGTTTTCTATTATAAAAATAAAATTTCTAATTCATTGTTATTTTCGTAAATTATTATTGAAAACTTTAGTCAAGTTCAGCTTTTTTCTATACATATAGTCCTCCGATATCAACACGGACGCGACACTACATGTTAATTGTGAAAAATATTAGATTTCAATATGTTTTGATATTAAATAATATTTTTAATTTATATAGTGTATATTAATATGCAATAATTTAACAAAAAAATAAAACTAAACTTATAATACCTATCAATTTTGCAAAGAAATATAAGATATAAATATTTACTAATATATTTTTAAATTAAAAATTTCTTATACACTCCAAGTGAAATTTATTTGATATCAATTTTTAATTTTTATTATATTAATTTGATAAAACATTGATCAATTTTTTTAATATGTAAAAAAATTTCAAATATTATATTATCAGAATGTCAGAGAGTGTCGTACACCATATTTCAAACGGTGTCACATAGCATATAGTTATCGTAAACTTCATCAATGAAAAATTTCTTATGTGGGCTGAAATTGTTATTGAAATTTATGGACCTATAATGTTAAAAGTACTTGAGGTTAATGTAGCGAGCAATGGCCCAAACTACAAAAACCTCGCAGAAGCAACTAAAAAGCTCAAAGGCAAATCCTGCTAAATTTTTCCAGACAAATCTTCCGCTGGGTCATTTTCTTTTCTTTTTTTAAAAAAAAATGCTAGGCTAGGTCATATCTCAATAGCAGTAGCTAAAGAAGCATCTTCGGCTAGGTCCAGATATCTTTAACCTTGCATAAGCTACAAATTACACAAATATAAAGATGAAAAGGAGCAAGGTCATCATCACAGTGGAAACCACGTTGGCAAGTTGCATGTATCGATAATGTGAATAATTGTCATTACTACATCAATTATAGGCATTAAAAGAATTACAAGTCCCAATCAATTAAACCGGAACCACAAGCATTTAAGCTAACTGGAAGAATACAAGTCAAAATTACTGCAAGATTAATATAAACAAAGACTTACAAAACCAAGAACTCAACCACAAACCTCACTAACAAGCCTAGACACCTCTGGCAAAGCAACGACGAGAGGATGAACCAGAAAGTGCTTTTACTGGAGAATGGGAATTAAGGCACATACAAACATCAACCAAGTGAATAACAGCTTCATTCTATTCCCATTGATTGATGGAGCTGAATTAATATCTTGAGGCCTGAAAGAAAGCAATTAACATCAAAATTAGATCCAACCAGAGTCTTAAGTTAATGGTAGTTGGCATAACAGGATTATGAAACATACTTTTGCAATTTATTAAGGGCACCACAGTAAAGGGCATTGTCTGGAATGGGCAGTTCAGTCTTGTTATTAGCCTCTGGATTGAAAACCCTGACATATGTTTCTTGACCAAGATACCACGAATCAAGGTTTTCTGTTCTGAGATTCCAAACTCCAACATTGTCGAGGGAGACCAAAATTGCCGTCCATGCTCCAGGATAAACCTAGAAGGGAGAGGCAAGGAAAACAAACAGTTGTGTGATTAAAAGTTAAAACTTTCAGGAATCATGATACAGCAGCTGTAAAATCAAGGTACATGAAAGACATGTAAAAACCCAATAGCAAGTTGTAAGCTCAAGTGATTTATTGACTGAAGTACCAAAGATTCTTTGACCAAATGATATAGATGTAGATCATTACTACTCTCAATCTTAAAAATAAAAAAGTCAAATCATTATAATGATTAAAACGATATCGAATGATGTACCAGTTAAGATCAAGGTATATATGAAATACAAGATTTGGAAATGGAATTGACGATAGGAGCATAACAAAGTCAGTAATATGATAAAAAGGAGTTCATTAAGTTTACTGTTGCAGCAAAAAGTTTCAACTTTCATATGCCTTGAAACAAAGACTTCATTCGGAACATTTGTGAGAACATGAAATTAGCAATCAGAGGTTCTAGTGAGGCATTTGACAGCTTTGGAAAACACGAAAGTTTCAATGCTAGAACTTGTTAGTGTTCAGGAGAAGCCATATATATCTAAGACAGAAATATACCTGTGTTGTAGCGCGGGCTATTCCATCCCACTTGTTATATGTGCCCCTGCTGTTATCAGACCAATCACCATAATCCATCCTGTATCAAATGAATCAAGTTGTAAGTGTTATTGGCTCCTAAAACGTAACATACCATGTAAACGTGGAAAAGCACTTAAAAGAGAAGGAATTTGTGACTACCCTACTACAAAAAATGCATATCCACTCATGTGATAGGTATGCATCTTGGTGTCGTTGTTCTGCAGTATAACTTCCATAAATCCTCTATAAGTCCCATTAATTACTGATGTTTCTACCCGAGGTGATCCAGTTAGAGGCTTGGTGGGAAAATCGAGCTTGTATACTCCCTTTAGTTTGTACTGGTCAGCAAGCCTGATTGGAGTGGAAGGATTGACAAAAGATACCCCACTGAGTGTTGCTCGCCGCTTCCCATTAATATTCTCTGGTGGCTTATTTTTTAATACATAAATCTCAGTCACATTGATGGAACCATATCTGAAAGACCCCTGCGGGTTAGGACGAGCACCACTTGCTGAGACATTCCATCTACATAATTAACCACAGAATTCCAAGAGTGAGTGATGAAATTTCTTTTAATTCTCAAATTTGAGAATAAGTTCAATATTTGCAACACATTTTGTATGTCCGCATAGTTGAGAAATAGTGAATATTCTATAATTTGAGAATCTAATCTGCATAAAGTCTAGTGGAATTATGTTTTAATAATATATTAAAGTTCAATATTTGCAATACATTTAATAATATGCCCACGTAGTTGAGACATAGCAACATATATGCAGTTTATAGTCCAGAAGTTACTTTTCAAAATTATAAAGCTCCCTTAAACTCCCAAAACAATACAGAAAACTCAAAATAGCAAGAACAGATGTTGGTTAATCTGATTGCATTCCTCAAAACTGAAGCATGAGTGAATACTAGTAGATAACAGATAATGCTATAAAATTGGAGCATAAAGAGACCTGATGGATCTTGCTTGGTTCATTGAGTAAGTTTTGTCATATTGATCATCTGGAGCATCCGGGAGAGGACCACTAGCCTTGCCCTTTGAATTTGTATAGTGCAAGATAGCAACTCCAGTGACTCTTTGCCAAAGTGATTCATTCACAAACCTGGCACTTGCTACTATGTAGTAATCTGTACTTGCGTTCTGATCCATGGTTATCAGAAAAGAATAAGATTGTCCAACATGAATATCTAAGCTAGTATAGTTCTGTTGCACTGTATAAGATCCCTCAGTCTCAGCTAGAAGTAAGTTATGGTTCTGGATCCTGAAATTCAGACTTGTTGATACTCCGACATTATGTACACGAATTCGGTAAGTTTTTCCTGTTAAACATTATGAGAGAGCCATTCAAAATATTTAACAGGTAAATCATTATCAAGAATGCCATAACACCAAGCCCACACCCATACAAACTCACTGTACTGATACATTAGCAATGATTTTTATTAACTTCATGTTGCATCCCATGGAACAAATTATAATGAATACACTTCTGAGAACCACAAGAAGCTTCTCTTTCTAACAGACACCTTGTGCAATGTGCATTACTCAACAGATATAACTCAGAAGTATACAAAGAGACTACATGTAACAAGATGACTTCGCTTACTTCTGTATATCTTTAAATATATTGTTTTTCTCACGATTTCAGACATTGTTATGCTCAATGTATCTAAATTCACTACAAGTAAATAACCAGTATATCTTTAAATATATTGTTTTTCTCACGATTTCAGACATTGTTATGCTCAATGTATCTAAATTCACTACAAGTAAATAACCAGTATATTTTAGTCAATGAATTCTATGCTTCCATGCCTAAAGAAGCCCAAATTAGAGAAACTATATAACGAGACATCCAAGTTTCTCACTTTGTCATATAGGACGTTTACCAATCATAAGCCCTAACAATACCATCCACGTCAGTAAATAAAAACAAGTCACAGAATTCAAATTAATCTTCTTCCAAGAACTTACCCGGATGGACATCAATTTGTTCATAATCAATGCCATCAGGAACCAGTGTATCGTTGTATTTATAAGGGCCTTTCCCGTTGATGAGAACACCATCCGGCATGCCAAGATCTTTTCCGGCATCGAGGTCCTTCCTCAAAGCCTACATTCCAAAGTAGAACCAGTAACAAACAGTTTGGCCCATGTTATTCTATAAAAGTATTAATTGGCACTTAGCAGAAGCAAGGACTTTCCATAAATTCAACCAACACTAACCGTATGATTGCGCGTGTACCAATCACCAATTAGAATGACAATATCCCCATATGGGGTATCAAAAGGGATAGGAATGATGGAGCGGGGGTTAATGATGAAACCCCCAAATCCACCAGATGCTCTTTGCATATGAAGTGAAGGAAAGTAGAAAAAGCTTCCAATCTGATCCTTGACCTGAAACTGGTAAGTCCAGTTCCATTTAGAAGGAATGGGACAATTTGTGCCAAGAACACCATCCTGCCACGAACTCCTCCGTTGTTGAATCCCAGACCTGTCTCAATCGCCCATGAAATAGCTCAATGATTTTGTGAGCAAACAAATTCAAGTTTTGAAACTTTGAAAAAAAAAAAAAAAAACTCAGCAAGCTATCCTACCAATGAATGAGAAGGCTCTCGTCCAATTTGTTTCGAACATTGACAACAACGTTGTTGTTTGTGGTTACATTGATAGTAGGACCTGGAAACTTGTCGTTAATAGCAATGACCTGCAAAATAAACAATGCCGACATAAGAGGTCATTAGCAAAACCCTGTAGCTTTTTTCTTTTTAACCAACACTAACTACGCAAACAGCTCATAATGAAACTTCACATAACACTTCAGAAGCTCAAGTATCACGTTACTATTTATCAGTATCTCATGATGCAGATCTGCAAGTAAAGCTTGAGACTTTAGGAAATCCAAAGTGAGCCCATGGGAAAGTAAACACACCCACATCCAAAAATAGAAAAAACAGATAAAAGAGATGTAAGAAAGAAAATTGGAACCTGCTGAGGAACTCCAAGAGGAGAGGCAGTGATGTAAGAGACCTCAAAGTCGTAGGGAACGAATGGATCCGCGGCTGAAGAGAAGGTGAGAAACAAGGAAATGTTGACAAAAAAGAGGAAGAGAGCTCTAGACGAAGCCATTGTATGGGACTTTTTGTGCCTCAAAAGATTTAAAGTCAAGTTTTGAGTAGCTTTTTTCTTTCTTTCTTTTCTCTAAGTTTACATTATCAATTTCTTTCAGGAAAGAAAAGGAATGAGAAAGAAGCAAGAGTGGGACTGGGTCTGGTTGTGGGTAGTATTGATAGAGAGAGAGAAGCAAAGGGTAGGAGAAGACCTCTCTTCCAACACTTTTAGCTGTAATATGAAAAAAAGCTCTATTGTAGCAAACAACAGGAAGAGGGTAATTGGGGTGACAGCCAGTAGCCAGTTCACACCTTCCTTATTGCTTGTTCAGTATTTGACTCTTGTCTCTCCTAAATACAGAATTTCTCCTTTTCTACAAAGTAAGTGAAATAATTAAAGAATTTTATGTTGGTTACGTTACCTAAGATAACTCTACTTCCTTATATATATATAATAAAGAGGTGGGATTTATATATATTTTTCTCTCTCATCATTTTATTTTTTCTTTCTTTTTTATGATGTGGGTAAGAAAATAAAATAATATTACGTAATATAAGAAATATAAAATCCATAATTCAACGTGGCCATGCGATAGGCTAAAAGTGCTCCTGAAATTGTGTGGTTAACGTTATTTGAGATATAACTAATTTTTGGACATAGTTGCATATGTTTTACTAAATATCGTTGTAATTAATATTTGAGGTATAGTCGTTGTTGGCACTTGGCACGGTAGTTTTATTTTAATATAGAAATGAGTATAAGAATTGGCAATTTGTTTTATTTGGTTAATTAATTAAGTTTGGTGTTTGATGGTTGGGTGGGGTCCTTTCCCTTTTGGTGGTAACGGCGTAATTTACGATACAACGGTCGGATCTCTATAAAAAGCGCCACATGCTTGCCAGCCGGGAGCCATTCTCCGAGTGGGGCCCATATGGACTGAGCTCTGCGTAATTACCGTCTGATCATGACTTTGCGCTTTTGACTTACCTCAACGGTCCCTGATGATGATGCATACCACGTGACTCCGGCCGAGTAAAGTGTCCAATCACGGCCTCAATTCCTCTTCAACATTTTGTTTTCTTTTTTTGTTTTTCAGATTAACGACAAATTTTTATTTTGACACAGGAATACCTTTCCATGCAGTTAATTAGTTAAACCAGAAAAACGGTTTACATGCAAAGCAAAACTGTTTCTTTCTGTAATAAATGAGCGTCAATTTCTTAATTTCAGAGAACATATTTGTCAAGGATGTGAGCGGTTATATTTATTATTAATTTAGTCTTATTATTTTTATTACTTAATTAATTATCATTGGATTAATTTAAAATCAATTATTAAAAAAGAAAAAAATTAATCGTAGTTGATTTCATAGCTGCTGTGAAAGGTTGGTTCGGGTGATCAAAATGTCCAAAAAAACCAAATCAATCCATAACCAAACTGCTCCACATTTTAAAAATCGGTTTAATATAAAACTGCATTTTATTTTAAAAATTGGTTATTTACCAAACCATAAAAATAATTGGTTATCCATGGTTATCCATAATCAAACTGCTCTAAAAATAAAAAAATAAATAAATATTATCTTTTATCATGTCTATTATATTAGTCAATTGACTCAAACTTCAAAACAATAAACTAGCAGAAAAAGTTAAGCAACTCAAGAAGAAAAAATTTATTTAAAAAAAAAAATTACACATAAATCAAAAGGTCACATCCTAAAAAAGCACTTCTTATGTAATGTAACAACTTTTTTCCCAAAAAAATAAATAAATAACCACATACAGACTTATGGGTAAACTCACAACTTGACAAGGCGAAGGCTTTGAAATGACAAAGATGAAGTTAAAAAATCATAACGAAAAGGGCAACAAAATTAATCAATTGACTTAACGTCTCTGAGATATTTAAGATGATGAATCAGCGCCGTTAAAAGGACAACTCACAACGGATTTACTTATTTGTTCTATAATTGTAGAGCAGTTTGGTTATGGATAACCAATTATTTTTATGTTTGGTAAATAACCAATTTATAAAAATAAAATATAATTTCATATGAAACCGATTTTTAAAAATAACCTATTTTTTAAATGTGGAGCAGTTTGGTTATGGATTGGTTTTGTTCTTTTAGACATTTTGAACACCCCTACATGTACCTTCCTTTATCAGTTCAAATGAAACTTTTAGTAACATAAATCTTAAGAAAACGAAGAGCAATTTTTTTTAATTTTAAAATAATTCAATTGTTCTTCTACCAATCACTCCCAAAACAACGTGAAACAATTTCTATATGAATCATTTCGTCCGAAGAGTTCCAAAACAATGAAGATTCTTGCAAAAAATAGTTGGTTAACTATCTATAATTGGGAGAAACAAGAGACTACTTATAAAAATAGCACAATTCATTAAAAACCGATTTTGAATTTGTTAAAAAATCGATTCTGAACTTGATAACCGGCTTATGGTTCATAACTAGTTTTGATTTAAAAACGGTTTTGAGTTGAAATCGGTTTAAAATTGGTTATAAATCAAAACTGGTTATAAACCATAAACCGGTTTAGAAAATTAAAAACCGGTTTTAAAATAAGAAAACTGGGTCGGTTTGAAAACCAAACCGTTTAAAACCAGTTCGGTTCGGTTTTTGTTAAAACCGTTTATGAACCGCTCCATGCACACCCCTACTTACATCAGTTGGATGTTAACAACGCTTTTTTGCATGGTGATCTTCATGAAGAGGTCTACATGTTGCCACCTTATGGCCTTCCTCTCGAGAAACCTGGTCAGTGTGCAGTGTAACACCATGTGCATGCCCGGTTTATTAACATGTCACCGTATTAAGCCACGCTTAATGAAATAATACGGAATAACTCTTTACTTTCAATTATGACGTCATTACTTAGCCAAGTTGATTACTTAATCATTTTCATAAAAACATCGCCTGTATGTAAATTGCAACAGACAGCTAACTGAAATACCTCAATAGATAGATAAGTGTGAGTATCTAGGTCACGGAACTACAACACGTAGATCAGACATAATCCTGATACAATTATACAACTTCGAATCTAAAAGCATAAAGTCGAGTCAATGTGGCATGGACAATCCCCATGCTTACCCAATAAGGCAACAAAGCCCAACAGCATTCTCAACAATAACAACATGAAGCTAAAAGCATAAAAGCAACAGTCAATATCTAGCATCCAACATAAGTAGCATAACATCATAAAAATCAGCTAAGCTCCGGCCTCCTGCCGCTAGAGGTCTCAACCCCCGCATTACCTGAACCTGAAATATGTGCCTCAAACGTGGGGTAAGATCTCTAAACAGAAATCTCAGTAAGACTAGGGGTCCTCAAGGATCTTCCACCCCAAGCTCACTTACATGTGCAATATAAGTTCTAAAAGCAGTCATATAATATAAGTTCTAAAGTCAGTGTAATGCAACAGATAACCATGTCATGTGTGTCAAGATATTCTACTGGCCAGAAAAATGCAGGATATACGTCTATTTCCTACAATCAGTGCAAGACGCCACTTACACCCACCCACAGGATCACCATCTTGTATGATGTAACACCCCGTGTATACCCGGAATATTAACATTACATCGTATTAAGCGGTGCTTAATTAAAAATGCGGAATATTCTTTTTCTTTTCAATTATGATGTCATTATCAATTACCAACTTGATTACTTAATCAATTTCATAAAATATCGCCTGTATGTAAATTGCAACAAGACATCTACTGAAATACCTCAATATATAGATAGAGTGTGTATCTAAATCACAGCATTACATCAAGTAATCCGGACAATATCCTGATACATCATTACAACTCCAAAAGACTCAAGACATAATCAAGGCATAATAATACTATGTGTCATGGACAATCCCCATGCTCACCAAATAAACATAGTAAACAACCAGTCTCAACATAATACTCCAAAACATAAACTGAAACTATAAGCATAAAAGCAGCATGCAAATCCAGCATCCAATCATGGCAGCATAATATAACAGCAATCTAACTCAGCTCCGGCCTTCTGCCGCCTGAGGTCTCAACATTACCTGATCCTGAAATAAGCATTCCCCAAATGTGGGGTGAGATCTCTAAACTAGAAATCTCAGTAAGACAAGGGGTCCTCAAGGATCTTCCACCCCAAGCTCACTTACATGTGCAATATAAGTTCAAAAAGCATTTATATCATTATCAGTTCCAAAACTATGTAGTGCAACATATATCTATGGCATGTGTGTAATCACTATCTACTGGCCAGAGAAATGTAGGAATATGTCTATTCCCTACATGTAGTACAAGGAACACCGCTTGCACCTCACCCACAGCCTCACCCTCTTGTATGTTCTACATACTCAGGCTTACCGTATAGGTGGAACACCTCCATGCATATCAACAAGGCACTGACATATAATAGCTCAACAGCATTTTCAAAACATCAAAAGCATGTAACACAACATGCATATACCATATCCCCATGGGACATGGTGGAACCACAACATGGCTAAACCGAGGACACGAAAGCTTACCTCTAAGCTAGCTATCCAATGCCACAAGCTCAAAGTCCAATCTCAGCAGATCACAATCTGATATGGACCAAACATAAATCAATAACATGTACCACATGCATACAAATTAAAGACAATACCTTTTCATTACGTTTTCGAGTCTTAAAGCTTCTAACAAAGCCACAAGCCCTAAATCCCATGATTCTGGCTTAATCCATTAAATACAGAAGTTCAACTTCATCAATCTAGGATCTACAAACCCCAATAGCCTATTGTACGCACAGCACAACTACTGTTCTGCGCAATCCCAGAATATCCGGATATCTCACTGTCCATATCCGGATATGCAATATCTGGATATACATATTCACATATCCGGATATCCAATATCCGGATATCCCAAAACCACGTATCCGGATATCAGTTCGACAAATATCCGGATATCTCACGACAGAATGCAGTTTCTGCATTTTCGTGAAGATATCCCACAAAGGTTCCCTTTTTACCGATTTTAAACACCTAATCATGCATTTCTAGATGTGTTAAGCCTCACCCAACAACAAGTTATCATCTTTTAACCTTAATATGCATCAAGCTGCCATTTTTAAGCCTTAAAACTCAAGATCAAAGGTTGGTAT